TTCTCTAGGTCTTTTCTGACGAAGATGTAATCATCGCCAACGGAACTATACAGGGCGTAGCCTCGTTCCTCCAGGTAGGTTCTTAGGGCCTGACTGCCTTCGGGGATGTGCCGGTACTCGATGCAGAGCACCTGGATCTGCACCTTCTCCCAGGGAAGTGTTTTCAATACCTGCGGACAAAAGTACCAATGAATAACTTGTTTTACTTTTTTCTGATTAGTCCTTTTCTATAATCATATTCCTTTAAATTAGTCCTATACAAATACTTTTCCTAAATGTAAAAAATCTCGAAACTGTGAATCATGTATTTCACTCCATCAAGGTCAGACTTTTGGACTGTTTATATTATTTTAGCATCATTTTCACATCCGAACCGCTCCCAACCCAAAGTTTATGCCGCAGCTGATACTCTACCTGTAGCTCTGCTCCTTCTACGTCGAGGGAGAGGAGGTCAACCTTCGTGGTGTTGATGGCGAGGAGGAGAGAGTACAAAGGGAAGCACTTGACCCTGGTGAAGATCCCCCGCCGGTTGGCCTCCTCGCCCTGGCTCGCTATGTGGCCCATGGTGTCGCTTTGCCTGGAGGAAATACATTGATACCTTCAAGTGTCGGCAGTTTCAGAGACAGATTATACTGCAATTGATAACTTGGAAGGAAACTGTTATTACACCAACAGCATCTCTTGTCGCTATTACTTTTTATGTAGATTTACAATCAGTCGAATATATCAGCCCTTACAGAATGCCCCCAGGGTATTACTGCAACACGAAGAGATCGCAGACCTCTGACGTAACAACATACTTGAAGGTGACCTCCCTGGGGTAGGGGCTGGGGGACAGACACGCGTTCACCAGGTGGGCCTTCCTGCCCTTCTTCCTGAGCGACCAGAAGTTCCACGGGTCGGGCTCAACCAGGAGGCCCTTCCAACCGAGGTTCCTTTCCAGGTACAGCGTGTTGCTCAGCTGCTCCCCGTCGTAAGCGCCGGCCTCCACGAACACTCCGCCGCGCTGGGAGGGGAGAGGGATGGCACGAACATAATAATCTTCTTTTATCGAATGGGTGGCGATAAGTAACGACAATTATTTCACCGACAGTATTGATAATATCATTAGTATTTGTTACTGCAAATTAGTTTTAATGCATATCTCATAAAATTGTATTAATGTCTTGTTACTACGCGAATGGAAAGTTAAATGGGTTGAAAACGCTGAGTAGAAGCTTTAACAGTGCCTAGCCACCACCTTAGGAGATAATGTAAATACGCCAATCATGCCAGCGTAACATTATCTCATGCGCTTTGATCAAAAGCTAAACGATGAACAAAGTTATCTCATCTACCAAATATTTCCACTTTTCCCTTGAACGAAAAGTATCCACAATTCTCTTCACTTTACACAAAGACCTTACCTTCCCCTTGAGAACCTTCTCGACTTCCTTGCTCTGGCCGTTCTGCGAGAAGTCGGTGGCGTTGGGCCGACTGAGCGCGTACGGCGCGGAGGCCCCCTTCGGCGCCAACAGGTGCAGCTGCCTGATGTAGGACACAAGGTCTGGGTGGTGCTGCGGGGCGCCCTCGAAGTCATGGTCGCCCATGTATGCTTACGTGCGTGCATACATACATATATACACTCATCAATGCATGCACAGATTCATACATGTATGCTTACGTGCGTGCATACATACATATATACACTCATCAATGCATGCACAGATTCATACATGTATGCTTACGTGCGTGCATACATACATATATACACTCATCAATGCATGCACAGATTCATACATGTATGCTTACGTGCGTGCATACATACATATATACACTCATCAATGCATGCACAGATTCATACATGTATGCTTACGTGCGTGCATACATACATATATACACTCATCAATGCATGCACAGATTCATACATGTATGCTTACGTGCGTGCATACATACATATATACACTCATCAATGCATGCACAGATTCATACATGTATGCTTACGTGCGTGCATACATACATATATACACTCATCAATGCATGCACAGATTCATACATGTATGCTTACGTGCGTGCATACATACATATATACACTCATCAATGCATGCACAGATTCATACATGTATGCTTACGTGCGTGCATACATACATATATACACTCATCAATGCATGCACAGATTCATACATGTATGCTTACGTGCGTGCATACATACATATATACACTCATCAATGCATGCACAGATTCATACATGTATGCTTACGTGCGTGCATACATACATATATACACTCATCAATGCATGCACAGATTCATACATGTATGCTTACGTGCGTGCATACATACATATATACACTCATCAATGCATGCACAGATTCATACATGTATGCTTACGTGCGTGCATACATACATATATACACTCATCAATGCATGCACAGATTCATACATGTATGCTTACGTGCGTGCATACATACATATATACACTCATCAATGCATGCACAGATTCATACATGTATGCTTACGTGCG